GCCCACAGTACTGACACCTCCAACAAGTTTGTGTTTGGCCAGAACATGAGCGAGCGCGTCTTGGTGAGTGGCCCTGGCTGGCACTGTTATCTACTTGGGGGTTCACAGCATGTGGCTCTCATGCTGTCTCCTGTGCAGTCAGGACAGGATTCTCAGGTACAGGAATGAGAAAGACCAGCTCCAGCTCACATTCGCTACAGGCTTCTGTTGCCCCCCAGAGGCTACTAGGGGGCCGGCTTCACCCTGTCTTTACTCTTCACTGACACAGGCATCCCTGTGGCCAGCGCCACAGCTGGCCCCAAAGCTACACCACTGAGATAGGTGGCCTGTGTCCCTGTTCACAGAATCAGCCATGCCTGCCACTTCTGCAGGACAGGGGCAGCCAGGATAGCAGGCGCATGCATATTCCCTGCTTCTGAACACTCATAGCCCAGGACGCAGAGTCTAGCCATCACCCACTCCTCTCGGCCATTTTCTCCCTCTGGGTGTGTGCCCAGCCCCACCATGGTGTCCACAGACTCTGGTCATGCCCCTGGCACCTGGTACGGTCGCCATGCTGCAGCTTATTCCTGTTGGTCTGCCACAGCGTGTGGTCCTGAAAGGAGGGCCTGACTAGGAATGGCTGTTGAGGACAGGCCCCTGCAGGGTGCTCAGGTTTCAGCCCTCCGGGAAGTGCTGAGCAGCCGTCCCTGCTGGGCCTCTCACTCTGTCCTCAGCACCCACAGCAGCTCCGCCCTGGCACGCTTGTTTCCTCAGAGCCCCCCCAAGCTGAATGAAGCCAACTCAGATGCCAGCAGGGAGACTACGCATGTCCAGTCAGGGTCTGAGCCATCGTCCCAGGAGGCTGCCCCCAAGAAAGGTAGGGCACAGCTCTGCACACACCTCAGGAGACTCCCGACCACTAGGCAGGGACAGCTGTGGCCCCAGTAGATGTGAGAGGTTGGCTTGAAGTGCCTGGGATGGATGGCGGGTGGCCATGCTCTGCTGACCAGGACAGGGCTCCTTGGGTCCCCAGGAGCCCCAGGCCTGCTGACTCGGTTGTGGTTTTGGGTCTTCTCATGCAGAGTCACTGGCCGAGTCAGCCGCTGCCTACACTAAGGCCACAGCGTGGACATGTTTGCTGGAGAAAGTGGAGGTCATCACGGGGGAGGAGGCGGAAAGTAATGTGCTGCAGGTGAGAGTGAGCGTGCTGAGCAGGGCGGCCAGGAGTGGGCTGCGTAGCAAGACCTGACTTCCAGAACAGCCAGTGAAGGCAGGGAGACGTCTGTGAGTTCAAGGCTAGCTTGGGCTACTGAGAGGGTTCCAGGACAGTCAGGAACATTTTTGCCTAAACCAGTTGCACAGCCATTGTCACAATTGGAGCCCCGTCCAGTGAGCTAGCACCCAATCACCCGCAGGTCTTCCCCTTGCCTCTGGGTTTCCCAGTTCTGAACACTTCTGGGATTCTCCGAAGTGTGGAATTTTGCCCAGGTTTTGTCACTGAGTTTGGCATCCTAGGTCAGTTGTTTCTGTTCCTGACTGGGTAACACCCCAAGGGACTGCATGGTGCCAGTGAACTAGTACTCGGCCCTTTCTGCTTTGGAACCCTCATAGGCAGGATGACACGTGCATGTTTGTAAGGACATTCACTTGCTTTCTGGGTTGGCAGTGGAAGGGACTGCCATGCTGTTGTCTTCCCAAGCACTGTAGGATGTCCCTGCAGCCGGGCAACTCATAGTAACACCCAGCACTCCTTCCCGTGGGAGCGAGGTGGCATCTCTGTGTGTTTGGGTTGCCAGAGTTCTTCTTGCTTATGCATTTGGGCAGGGTACATGGTTCCATAGTAGAACATAGCTTGCCGGAGCTTGGCTTCCATTCCCAGCACCACAGAAACCGAAACACATAAAGAGATGACTGTGCATAAAGAACAAAGCTGGGTGCTGGCTGGCAGCGTCCTGACTATAGGACTGGTAGGCAGGTGGGGTAATGAGATACCCAGCATCATTGGTAGCTTTGGTTTGAAGTGGAGCTTGAGTTTGGTGGGGTACAGAGGGTGGGTACCCATACCCTGCTCACTGACCCCATGTGTTACAGATCCAGTGTAAGCTGTTTGTGTTTGACAAGGCCTCACAGTCATGGGTGGAGCGTGGCCGGGGACTTCTGAGGCTCAATGACATGGCATCAACTGACGACGGCACGTTACAGTCCCGGCTGGGTGAGCACTGGATAAGGGTAGACCCTCCTAGAGGTGGCCCTGGGGTCACACCAAACCAGAAGTGTGGGAGCCACAGCTGGGACAGGGCATGGCTGTGAGCAGGGCCCTCTGGCTGGGGCCTACTGCTCCTGCACACCCACTCTCTGCTCAAGCATCCTTCATGGAAACAGTACAGCTCGGAAGCAAGGTGGCGGCAGGAGCATGTCAGCCTGGACTGTGAGTCCTCAGAGCATCAGGCACTGCTCCAGTGTCGGTCAGAGCTGCCCTCCTCCTGTTGGGGCCTTGTGAACATGGTCTCTCTGTAGCCCAGTCTGACCTGGGATCCACTGTGAGCTCTTCCAAAGAAATGGGGAACTCCTGTCCCATTTGGTTACGTTCCCTTGAAAAGTCAACTTAAGCCCAGAATTGGGAGGTGAGGCAAGAGGACTGCTGTGAGTTCAAGGCCAAGCCCAAAACAAAAACACAAAAGTTGGTGGAAGCATTTATAGTACTGCTCTAGGCAGTGACCTGTGACCCTGTGCATATGGGGTAGTGGGGACTTGTTGTTCTTTTTGTGTTTGTTTTGTTTTTAAAATTTATTTCATGTGTTTTGCCATGGGTGTTGGGTCCCCCTGGAACTGGAACTACAGACAGTTGTGAGCCACCATGTGGAAATCGAACCCTGTTTCTTTGGGAGAGCACTTGGTGTTTTTTTTTTTTTGAGCCTGTCCTGGAACTCACTCTTGTAGACCAGGCTGGAACTCACAGAGATCCACCTGCCTCAGCCTCCTGAGTGCTGGAATTAAAGACTTGGCCCACTACTGCCCAACACAGTCAGTACTCTTAACTACCGAGCCATCTCCAGCCCTAGTTTCCCCCCCCCCCCCCCATAACAGGTAGCAAGCCAGGAACTACCTGTATGATGCTTGTTCCTGGAGCCTCAGATGAGCTCCTGGCCTTGGGGGAAAGGGAGGATGGGACTCATAAGCCTGACTGGGTGGGGAGAGTTGGGATCCGCCTCACACACGTGGTGGGCTTGGGCTTGAGGTGGGAGCAGGTGGTCTCCATCTCAGGAGGGCTCTGTGAGAGCATGCCTGCCCTGTTCTAGACCTGCAAGGGCATGGCTCCTCTGGTCTTCTGGAGGTGGGCTGCAGGTCGGGGCATGTGTGAAGCTAAGTGGCCTCCTTACTGCAGTGATGCGGACCCAGGGCAGCCTACGGCTCATCCTGAACACGAAGCTGTGGGCACAGATGCAGATGGACAAGGCCAGCGAAAAGAGCATCCGCATCACAGCCACGGACGCCGAGGACCAGGGCGTCAAGGTCTTTCTGATCTCGGTGAGCTCAGGGGAAGGCTGGCGTGGAACACTGGCTCAGTGCTGGTCACTGTCCTAATGTCACAAAGCAAGGACACAAACCTCCTCCCTGGGCAGTTCCCGATAGCTGTGTGCACACCATGCTGTCCCCTCTACTACACATGTGCAGGGATGACAGACCCCACTCTGACCTCATTGTCCAGCCTGACTCTCCAGGGCCTTCCAGCACTTGTAGTCCCTTGTCAGAGAAGTCAGCTGATCAGGCCAGTGTGGCCCAGCGGCAAGCCAGGGTCTACATGTGTGGATGCTGCCCAGCCTGGCTACCACACACACTGCCACCTCACACACTGTCTCCCCAGGCCAGCTCCAAGGACACTGGCCAGCTGTATGCAGCCCTGCACCACCGCATCCTGGCACTGCGTAGCCGGGCTGAGCAGGAACAGGAGGCCAAGGCTCCCGCACCTGAGCCAGGGGCCACACGGGCCACCGAGGAGGAAGACAGTGATGAGGATGCAGTGCTAACTCCCTCAGGGGTCACTCCCTCAGGAGCCGGTGAGCAACACGGGGCCTGTGGGAGGGACTCCAGCTGGCCACAGTGGCTGTGCTGGGGCTGAGGGACCCACTCTTCCCACAGGCGCAGGTGATGAAGGAGATGGCCAGACTCCTGGGAGCACATAGCAGCGGAGCCACTGCGCCAGGCTGCTGCTTTGTCGTCTGTCCGCTGCCCGTCCCTCCCTGCAGGCCGCGTCATGGTGGTGTCTATTGCTGGGGTGGCCGCAGGCTGGATCCGCGTGTCCCCTCTGCAGCAGACGGGGATGCCAGGATGCGGCTTGGGACTCAAACCTCATCATATTGATGAGCAGAAAGAACGATCCCTGCCCTCCTCCGATCGAAAAGGCACATTGACACTTGTCACAGCTTCCGCTGGCTCTCAGACCCGGCCTGGTCACCCAGCCTCGTGGTGACCAGCTCTCCCTCCCTGGGCAGCAACAGTTCAAACTCTGAGCTCAGCGTTCTATTGAGAGCAACCTGCTGTCTGCTCAGCTTCCCACTCTGCCAGGTTCACATGGCTGATGCCTCTTTCATTTCTGATGGCCTGGCTTCCGAGGACCTGGGTGAAGCTGCTCTTTGGCTGAGCTGACTTGATGTCCCTGTGGGAAGCGTCCGGCCCCGACAGCGACTCCCTAGGTCTGGGCCTGAGAACGCCTGTCTGGACAACGCTGGCCCAGGAGGGTTCCTGTGCTCTTGTTCACCTGCACCACCTGGGCCTCCCTAAGCAGCATGGCCCTGAGGGATTGACCATCTAGGGCCTCTGAAAGGCAAAGGGCCTGTCCTCAGGCAGAAGGTGACACCCCCACCATAGACTGTGTGGTTCCATCTCTGCCCGGGCCACACCCGGGGAGCCAGCAAGGATACCAGAGGCTGCCTGGCAGATGGGTCAGTCACACTGCTTCCAGCCTTAGCCAGTCAGTGACAAGTGACTCCAGACGTCGCCCATGTGTTTTGGAACATTTATGTAAGATTGTCATATGAAATGTATTTGAGAACTGCATTAAAACTTTTAACTAAAACCCCGACCTCCCGTGCACCTGGCAGCTAGACAAGCTGGGTGTGGCCAAGGGGGGCCCTGATGGGGTCAGTGCTCAATCCAGCCAGGCCTGCGGGTGGCCCTGCCAAAGACCTGGTCCAGCCGGTTCTTCAGCCTCCCATTCTCACATATTCCCCTCCCTGTGTCTAGTTGGGGCCCCAGGACAGTGGTAACAGTAGCAGATGTGTCAGGGGACTAGGCTAAGGGCAGTTGTCAGGCAGCTGAGAGCTACAACATCAGAGGCGCCAGGCATTGCTCACCATGGCCACGAACTCTGAATCAGTGTCCACTGAAGCGCTGAGTCCCCTGTAGTAGTCTTGGAACTCGGCCAGTGTGACCTATGGGGGGGGGAGACGACAGGCTATGAGGGGGGAGGGCTATGAGTGGGACCCAGGCCAGGGAAGCTGCCCTGTGGAAGGTACCAGGTGAACACACCTGCCCATTCTTCTCAAATGTGTCAAAATTGTCAAGGAATTGATGGAGGGCCTCATCCTCTGTCCACTCTCCACTGCGCACCTTGGGGTGAGCGTGGCCAGAGTACACCCCTCGCAGGTCGTCCACAGTCACCACACCATCCCCTGTCTGGTCCAGCTTGGCAAAGGCAGCTGCAATGACGGCTTCTCGGGCCTTGGACATAGGGGGCTGTAGAAGGGGACAGTGACTGAGGGGTGCTGGGGCTGGCCACTCTCACTGGCACCCCTCACAGTGTCTGAGGCCAGCCTCACCTGTAATGCCCGCAGGAACTCCTCCAGGTCCAGCGTCCCACTGCCATCACGGTCCCAGCGCTTGCACAGTGCCTCTGCCTCTGCCTCCCCCACATCCAGCCCCAGCTGACCCAGGCTCTGCCTCAGCTCCTCTGCATCCAGGGACCGGCTGCCATCCTTGTCCAGGCGGCGGAAAAACCTGGGGAGCAAGATATCAAGTTGGATTCCATTGATGGGAACCGCCGGGCCAGAAGGTGCTGAGAATACTGGGTATGAGGGCTCACCTGGCCAGGCCCTGGATGCCCGAGGCCCCTCGGGATAGACACTGGGCTCTCATCCTTTCTATGGTGGCATTCACGGTATCCATTATGAGCACAAATGAACACTGCAGAGACAAGAACTTGCAATGGGTTTCTGTACTCGGCTGGCCTGACAGAGCTGCTAATACCACACAGCCCAAGATCACCCCAACCACTCACTTGGCTTGCCTGTGTCAGGGTCTGGCCGGTGGAGCTCCAGGGAGGTCTGTGCGTCCTGCCTGGCACAGCTGTTGCTAGGCAATACAGACGGCTCTGGGGACAGGGAGGGGCCCGACTGTAACTCTTTCTGCGCCAGATACATTAGCTTGCCAAGAAGGGCAGGCACTGTGACTGACTCCCAGACCCCTGTCCACCCCTGGGGCCACAGTAGCTTCAAGCCTGGCTGGAGACTTGGGACACACAAGCTGTCTCACTCTGGACTTCAGGGGTACCCCAGCTATTTGGAAGACTTGAGGTGGGGACAGAGCTGAAAGTCTGAAGCCAGGTTGGGCTACAGACTGAAACCTTTGTCTTAAAAAAAAAAAAAAAACGGGGCCTGGTGGTACACAAGTATAATTAATCTCAGCGTGCAGGAAATGGAGGGACAGGAGTTCCAGGCTATGTGAGGCTGCCTCAAAATCAAAAGAAACATTGTCCATGAGTTTGCAAGCCAACCAGTGTTGTGATTGAGTTAATGAGAAACTGAAGTGACATTTTGCTATCCAAATGGATGGCCTGTTGTACTCCAAACATTGGCGAGTATCAGAAAACTAGCTCATTGTTTTCAGTTTTTGGTGCTGGGGATGAAACCCAGAGCCTTGGCATGCCAAGCAAATGTTGGTAAGTCACCCCTCAGGCACCATTGCTTTTCTATAGAGAAATGTAAAATATAATCAAGAATTGCTGGGAACGTTCCTTTTCACAGTGCTGGGATAGAAACCGGGGTCCCAACCCATGGCAAGTTAGCCCTGCCACTGAGCTACAGCCCAAGCAATTCTGAGTCTTAAGATGCAAGGCTGGCCACAAATCACAATCCCAGAGAACCCAGACAACAATGAGGACCCTAAGAGAGACACGCATAGGTCTAATCTACATGGGAAGTAGAAACAGACAAGATCTCCTGAGTAAATTGGGAGCGTGGGGACCTTAAAAAAAAAAAAAAAAGATGCAAGGCTAGGAGGTAAATCTCAGCATTACAAACACTCCCCCAGCCCCCTTCCCCCACCTGGATAGTCACAGGCTGGGGAGTGGAAGGTGGGGCATGGGTGATAAACCAACCCTTGTCCCCTAAATTCAAAGTTGCTTTGGTGCACAGAGCAGTTTCCCTTCCCTTTGGTCTGAATTTCCTCAGCTGTCTCAGCCTGTGCAGAGTTGAGGGCTCCTGACTCCAACCCCAGCCCCCACAAGAAGGACAGCCCAGGCTTAGAAATAACTGGTTTATTCTGGTGCGTCTCCCCTGTACAAACAACTCCCCTTTCCCCTCTGTTTCCTCTATTGAGGGTCCCAGGCAGGAAGTCAGCACCATGTAGGATTCAGAGACCAGCTGGATGGAGCAGCCCCTATCCCTCCCCCCCCTCCACACACACACACACACACACACACTTGGCTGCTCCAGGACAATTCCCTGAGCACCAGGACCATGAAATTGAACAGACCAAGTGCTGGTTGCAGGCTGGCTGCAGGGGCGTGTGAGGACTCTTCTGCTGCTCTGACGAAGACAACACACCCTCACCATCGCAGGCCCCGGGACAGCACCAAAACCAGAGTTACAAAATAGATCCTCTCAGGGTATCAAAAGAAGACTTGCTACAAAAACACCATTGTCCCTGGGAACAGGGCAAGGGCTCATCAGATGTCCAGGAGGCTCCTGGCTGTTGGGGGCCTCATCAGCTGTGGCAGGCACTAATGAAGATAGAAGTTCAAAGGCAGCCCCGGCTACATAAAAGGGCAGAGGCCAGCCTGGGCTACACAAAACTGCCTTTAAAAAGCAAAAGAAGCAATCACAGTGGAGGGCAGCAACCAGGCTGTAGTAATTACTACAGGGACGCTGGTCAGAAGGCCCCTCTGAAAGGGGACATTGGAGAGAAACCTGAGTGTCATGGGAGAAGGCTGAGGCTTGGACTGTGGTGTCAAAGAGGGAATGGAGGCAAGGGAAATGGATCCTGGATTCATGATTTGTCTTCCTACACAGAAGCAACAGAGCATGAAATAAAGAGGAGATTCTGCCTCAGGAAGAGTGGTGATGGGTCAGGACTCATGTCACCTGGGCATGTGACTTACACTTGTATTCAAAGCACTTGGGAGGACTCTGGGTTCCAGAGAAGTCTGGGCTGTGGAGGGAGACCCCATCTCACAGCAAAAAAAAAAAAAAAAAAAACAAGATAGGGCCTGGTGTTGGGTGCCAGGCATTGGGTGCCTGTCATCCCAGCAGGGCTCAAGGTCACCCTCAGCAAGTTAGGGGCCAGCCTGGGCTATGTGGAACCGTGTCTCCCAACAGGAAGCAGCACGGCCTCGGAGTCAAGCTGCCGTTAATTCACTGGTGCTGGGATGGCAGGTGTCCTCTCCGTCAGTTTGCCAGCATGTCTGCATGCTGGGCAGGGGCTCCACCACTGAGCCACTGCCTCAGCCTTTGTTTATTTTTGAATTATTTAAAATCAACTGAATGTAGCAGATGCCCCAAGCGCTGGGGGAGGGAGGTGGAACTGTTTTAAATGGGATCTTGGCTTTTCACTTGTTCCAGTGTTTATGAGATCCCAATAATATCCCAGGACCCTTCAGGGACACTGGTGACATCTGGGGCTCTGGGCTTTGGCCACACATTCTGAGATCAGATCCGCCAGGGCAGCTCACACTGTGGTCCCAAAGACGGCAGGCTGCAGGTCATCCTGGCCCTCCCCAGTGCTGTTGCCCAGGGGTGGGCCGGGCCCATCCGGAAGCAGCTGGCCCTGGCTGCTGGCTGGCGAGGGGCCCAGTCGCTCAGCCTCCTCCAGGGCGGCCAGCAGCGCAGCCAGGGGTGGTCGACGGGCGAGCGATGTCTTGCAGCAGATCAGCCTGGGGCTGCAGCTGCTGGATCAACTGGTCCCTCTGGTCCACTGCAGCCTGCAGACTGTGGACAGTGGCCTCCGAGTTCAGCAGCTGCTCCCGGAGGGCGGAAATCTCCCTGGTGAGGGGGCCAAAGGAGGTAGTTACTACTGGGGTACAGAGGCTCTGCCTACCTCCACTGCCTCTTTATTTGCATGCTTGTATGTGTGCCCAAATGCCCACATGTAAGTTGGGGTACAGCTTGTAAGAGTTGGTTCACTTCTTCTACCCCATAGGATAAAATTCTTTATCTTTCTTTTTGTCTTGCTTTGTTTATCGAGAAGACAGGGTTTTTCTGTGTAGTCCTGGCTGGCCTGGAACTCACACTGTAGACCAGGCTGGCCTGGAACTCACAGAGATCCTCCTGCCTCTGCCTCCCATTCTTAATGGCAAGTGAGTGCCCTTACCCACAAAGCCAACTCCACAGCATTGGTAAAGTACTCCAACTCCACAGCATGCCTGGAGTCAGGATTCTATCCCTAGCACACCATCATCCCAGCACTCCAGGGGATCAGGAGTTGAAGGGTATCCTGGCTACACAGTGCCTTCCAGGCCAAAAACAAAACAATGCCAGTTTTGTGGCTCCTTCAATAGAACTTCCTTGTGGCCCAAAATGGTTGCCACAGCTCTGACTATTGTATATGGGTTCTGACATCGCGGTCCTCGGGTGCGCTGTGCACCTACCGATAGGCTCCTACCCAGCAGCCCTTGGGACATGCTCTTCACTTCATACCTCCTCCGATCCTCAGACGGGCCCCCAGGGCGGGCAGTACCAGGGGACCAGGCCTTGCGGGACAGCTGGCCCCGTTTGAGCAGTCTGAGACACTCATACAGCCTAGGCGGTACTCCTAACTCCTGATCCGCCGGCCTCAGCCTCCTCAGTGCCGCGATGCCAGACACGTAGAGCTCTGGAGATTTTGGCTCCTGGTTCCCAGCCCTTGCCGCCCGCCTCCTCCGGGAAGTCCGCCGGCCGCGCCTCCCCCGGGGCCTCACCGGTCCTTGACGCGGCCCAGCTCGTCCAGGGCGGCGCGCAGCTGCTGGTCGTGGTGGGCCAGGCGCTCGGCCTGCGCGCGGACCGTGCGCTCCGCCGCCAGCAGCCGCGTCTCCAGCTCCGCCGCGCGCCGGTGCACGGCCGCCAGGTGCGCGTTCGCCTCCCGGATCTGCAGCGCGGGCGGCGCAGACATGGTCCCGGGGCCGCCGCACAGGCTCCGCCCCGCCCCGCGAGGCTCCGCCCAGCGCGCAGGGAAGGCCCCGCCCCCTGGGAAAAGCCGTGCGCCTTCCTCTTGGACTCTCGCTATTGGCCACGGTTCTGAGGGGGCAGGGCTAAGGCAGGTCACGCCCTTTAGGTGCCACTCAAGTCTCTTTCAGAGTCGCTTCCGTTTGCCTTCGCCTCCGAGCTCAGGGCGATCTTTTTTTTTTTTTTTTTTTTTTTTTTTTTTTTTTTTTTGATTTTTCGAGACAGGGTTTCTCCGTAGCTTTTGGTTCCTGTCCTGGAACTAGCTCTTGTAGACCAGGCTGGCCTCGAACTCACAGAGATCCGCCTGCCTCTGCCTCCCAAGTGCTGGGATTAAAGGCGTGCGCCACCACCGCCCGGCTGCTCAGGGCGATCTTGAACCAGCGCAGAGAAGGCCTTGAGATCCGTCAATTACATCCTCCTCGACTTACGATTGGTCCCTATGCCGATAGTCCCCGCCCAAATAGGACACGCCCCCAAATAGTCGCACGCGGTTCTAATTGAGAATGCGAATAGCCACACCCTACACACATCCCGGGTCCCCGATTGGCCGAAGCGCTGTGCTCTGTAAAACCTGCATTACGATTGGTGTATCCGCTGTCAATCTCGCCTATTGACCCGCCTTACACCGCAATCGCTGTACTGCAATTGATCTGGCAACCTGTCAATCTCTTGGATGGCGGGTTGTCAATGGCATCGACATTCTCTCCGCTAGGAACGCCGTCTTTGCTAGGACAGGCTGCATTTTCCTTGGTTGACAGCGGTGCTCCTCAGTTTACCTTTCCAAGAATGAAGTCACGGGTGTCCCTACCCAGATTCGCTCGTGGGGACGCGCACGACACCGTTCCTACGGCGTGAAACGGAGCCGTCCACGC